CAGGTGCAAAGCCTTTTCCACTTGTTCCTCACATCTCACTGTTGTCTTCATTTTCTTTGGAACCGTCATGGTTACCTACATTCATCCCAACTCATCGTCTTCTGAGGATGATAACAGGTTCCTTGCCCTGCTCTACACAGTAGTGACCCCAAGCTTGAACCCCATCATTTACAGCTTGAGGAACGAAGAGATAAAAGCTGCTTTCAAGAAATTAGTAGCAAACAAACATGTTGTCTTTAAGGATTAATCCAAGTATATCAAGTTTATATCTCTCCACTAGATCAAAATTTTACAGAAGAATTTAAAGGGTAGAATGAATTCAAGAAAATACTGGTGGCAGGTCTGACTTTAACTCCAAAATGATCCAAAGTGTGTAACAGACTTATTTGAAGAGCCGTGGTGGTGCAGTGGTTAGAATGCAGTATTGCAGGCTAACTCTGCTGACTGCCAGGAGTTCACTTCTGACTGGCTCAAGGTTAACTCAGCCTTCCATCCTTCCCAGGTTGGTAAAATGAGGACCCAGATTGTTGGGGGCAATAGGCTGACTCTGTAAACTGCTTAGAGAGGGCTATAAAATACTGTGAAGCTGTATATAAGTTTAAGTTCCATTGCTAAAGAAAGGGAGACACCTGAAAAGTCCCTATTTGTTATTTGGATATTTTGACAATTTTATTTACTCTGGGAACATGTTTTGCAGGATGGGTAGATGTTTAATTTAAGACCATATAGCCAGGCCAATGCTTTGTTTTCCCTGAGAAAAACGTAATTGAGTTCTGGACTTTTAATTTGATGCTGAATGTCTTAGGCCAGTGGTTCTCAACCTTTTTAATGCCGTGAGCCCCCAACCAGTCATAAGTTGAGGACTACCCAACCGGTCGTAAGTCGAGGACAGCCTGGACAATTCTTATTGGCTTTTGAAAGCCAATAGAATTAGATTCTATTCAAGAGAGTCTATTCTATTGGCTTTCAAAAGCCAATAGAATAAAAGGGAGTAGCACAGCTAAGGAAAAGGGGAAAAAATGGTGGACTGCATTGTTTGGCGACCCCTGTGAAATGGTCGTTCGACCCCAAATGGGGTCACGACCCACAGGTTGAGAACCGCTGTCTTAGGAAGAAGAAAGAGACAGAAGATCTCACCTGTGGGACAGCTATATGTGTGGGCAGTTCCAGGTTTGTTACGCTTTTCTCATGTCTGTAATAATAAATTATCTGAGTGAAGCCTGCCCGATAAGTGGAAAGTTGAATAGAACAAAAATGAAAAAAAAATAAATGGAGGTGATCAAAATCTAGGTAAGCCAGAAGGAAATTAATCTGGGAGCTAATGAGGTGGTAAAACGTACCTTCCCCATCTACATGTAAACTGTATTCATTATCAAATCATGGAATGATCCTCCCCCATTTATTTATTTATTTATTTATTTATTTATTTATTTATGAGACTTATATACCGCTTTAAGTGCAAGCACTCTCTAAGTGGTGTACACTAGTAAGCAATGTATATATATATATATATATATATTTACATTGCCCCCAACAATCTGGGTCCTCATTTTACCTACCTCGGAAGGATGGAAGGCTGAGTCAACCTTGAGCCGGTGAGATTTGAACCGCTGACCTGCTGAACACAGTCAGCTAAAGTGGCCTGCAGTACTGCACTCTAACTGCTGCGCCACCTCAGCTCAATACATGTTGACTGCTTATAGTGCCTTGCAAGAAAGCATTGACACGAAGCTGAAGTGACGGGAAGAAGATCCCGTCAGGAACTTGTGGCTCAGTAAACCAAATGGTGTATATTCGCCAATCATATCTCAGAATAGTATGGCTGTCATGCTTACTTTGGTAGAGGACAGGAAGGCCTGGAGGAACGTTGTCCATGGGGTCGCAATGGGTCGGACATGACTTCACAACTAACAACAACATGCTTACTTGGTAGGAATGGATTATATAATAATGAAGTCATACAGTAAAAAAAAATGCAAAAAAACCACTCTTTTTTATAAAAAAAAAATCAAAGAGCCATTTATAATAAAGCACAAAAAATGATGTATCACTTATTTATGTAGTGTACGACATCTACAAAGATCATGCAATCACTGATATATAAATATGTTCAAATAAAGTATCAACAAATTTACATATATGTGTGTGTGTGTATATGTATGTGTGTATGAGTGTGTGTGTGTGTGTGTGTGTGTGTGTGTGGTGTGTATACATACACAAAAGGGTGATGGTTCATTCTCCGAGCTTATGGGTTGGTTTCCGAATGTTTCATTATTAGTGTAGGTAACATCTTTAGTGGAGTTTAGGGAATGTCAGTGTCAGTGTCCTGTTTATAAGGGCTTCAGATGTGCATGTGTCAAGTGAAGGTCTTATGATAGGTCACGTATGAGTCATCAGTGAGGGGCTTGTGATGGGTCTTAAAACAGTTCTTTTAAGAATTTTTAACAAAAGATATTGGATCCCACATCCATATTTTGCAACTAAACATAGAAGGCCTAAGTAGAAATAAATGTGAGTATGTAAGCAAACTGGTCATAGATAATAGGATGGAAGTGGTAACACTGCAAGATACTCATTTTGCTACCAACAAACAGATTAAAGCTCAAGGGTAGATCGCAGGGTACAAAATTGTACCCGACATAATGTATAATGTTCATGGCTCCGTAATGTATAATGAGAATGGGGAAACATTAACGAAGTGGATAGAGCAGAATGAGCTTCACCTGGAACTGAAGAAGCTTCTTGAATGAGAAGTGAAATGTCTTCAAAGAAAAAACAAAGTCCAATTGCCTTTTGAAAAAAGCATCTTTGGGACAACCATGACCTGGATGACTGAGAATCTGCATAGACGCCCAGTTTATGGTGCCAAAGACAGGAAAACCTTCCATTTGGCAAAATGAAACAAACCCAGATATATCACTGAAAGAAGAATAATCCCACCATCCCTTCAAACAATATTATTCTGAATGTTTTAATGGCTGATAAATAATTGAAAGAGATAGAATATAATAAGCTAGATTCCTCACTCACTCTGACTAAGGTATTACCTTACCAAGACAAGACTTCAGAAGAAAGGGAATAACAGATAAGATCCCATTTGCGTGATGAGTTTTGGAGTGGCAGCACTATGATTTTCTAGTATGCCAATTCATCCCCACCCCCAAAAAAGACGAAATTCTCATCAGATGAATGAAGTTTCCCCTCAAGGTTTGTTGGTTCTAATCAAAAAGGAGCTGTTAATGGAAAGATTTATTTCAATTCATTTTTATTCTGATTTTCTTCTATAAACCCAAAGGAAGGATATGACCTAAACCCAATAATGTGATAGAGACCATGTTTAGAATGTACCAGAAATGTTTTGGTGATTCAAACTCGGCCCAGAAATGAAGGGAATAAAAAGGCAATTAATTTTGCCAAAAAAAAGGTTTCATGGTAATTTTACTTGCAATTAGTGTTAACTTTTTTTTTTATTGAAAATTTTTTAAAATTTTACAAAAAAGTTCCCTTCCCCAAACCCTCCCAACCCACCGTCCCCCAACCTTCCCAGAGCTGAATACAGGCTTAATTAAAATTTAAAAGAAAAAGTTTTAAACACAAATAAACCATATACAAATTTGATTACCATAATTAAACAAATTATAAAATACTTTAACACCAATATTTAGAAAACAGAAAGAGAAAAAGAAAAGAAACAAGAAAAAGGAGAAAAAATAAAAAATAATAAATTTAAAAAAAGAGAATATCTAAAAAATATCTTAAACTTTAAATATAAATTATTCAAAAACTAAATAATATTTTTATATCATACTTATATTGTATAAAATTTATCCATCTTTTCCATACCAAGAGGTACTTCTCTTGCAATTGATCTTTCAAGAAAGCCGAAATCTTTGCCATTTCCGCTAAGTAAGAAACTTTAAGAAACCATTCTTGCAAAGTAGGCAAAGATTCCTTCTTCCAACATTACCCTACTAACAACCTAGCCGCTGTAATTAAATTTAACATTAATATAGTTTCTTTACTGTCACAGTCGGAAACAATACCCAGGAAAAACAATTGTGGAGTAAATTTTATCCTTCTTTTAAAAATTCTTTGAATATTCCACCATATCTTAATCCAAAAAGCTTTTATATTTTTGCATAACCACCAAATATGATAATAAGTGGCATCCAAGCAACCACATTTCCAACATTTAGGCTGCAAGTTTAAATACATACGAGACATTTTTTGTGGATCAAGGTGCCATCTGTAAAACATTTTATAAAAGTTTTCCCGTAAGTTTTAATTAGTGTTAACTTTTTAAAATCATGGTATTATTGACTTAAAGGAAGACAGTTCTACACAAGGACATCATAAATATCATGATCTACTTCAGGTTAGTAGCTACTTCCTGGTTAAGTGGTTTCACTGGATTTTCTAACTCTACTCTACAGAATCCTTCCCCTAAGGTCCATTAGAGTCGACTGGTTCTAATCCAAAAAGGAACTGTTGACAGATTATTTTAATTCATTTATTTCTTCTATAAACCAAAAGGAACGGCATGACATAAATCCAATAATGTGATAGATAAAAAGCTTAGAAAGTATCAGAAAAGTCTTGGTGATTCAAACTCAGCCCAGAAATAAACAAGATAAAAAAGCAATTTATTTTCTTCAAAAAAAATAAAGAGATATATTTTATTCTCCTAGCATGGTGATTTTGTTTGCAGTGAATGCTAACTCCTTATAGTTATGGCATTATGATTTAAAGGAAAACTATTCCACTGCAATGTCATTATGAACTTCAACATCATAATTTGGAAAATATCTACTACCAGTTAGTAGCTACTTCCTGGCTAAGTGGTTTTCACTGGGTTTTCTAACAGTACTCTACAGAAACTTCCCCTAAGGTCCATCCATTTACCAAATTCCCAGAATGAATCCTTGGGCTTCTGTCAGGAGATCTTGTTAAAGAAAAAATCCTCTCGTCTCTCTACAATTTCTGATCCTCTAGAAGTCAACTAAATTTAAAGGCGCCTTCACAGTCTTTGATGTTGGCTGATGCAAAATCACCAGTGCATATGAGTACATCTCCAGTTTTTCAGACGATCCTGTTTGGTGGGTTGGTTCTTCCTGTTGGGCAACTTTATTGAATATTTTATTAATCTAGCTCATTAACAGCAGTAAAAGGAAACAGAAGCTAAATTTCAAGATTAACACGCTTATTTCCTTGTTAAGAATTGCTTAATTCTTTATTTAATGTGTTTTTGTGTTCTCAGGCTTACCATGAAAAAAGACAACCAATCCTGTTTGACCGAGATTGTCCTTCTAGGCTTCTCCGATTTCCAGTCCATGCGAGAACTTCTCTTTTGCCTGGTTCTAATGTTCTACTTCATGGCTCTGACAGGCAACAGTCTGTTTTTGATCCTCACCATTCTCAATCCAACCCTTCACACCCCAATGTACTTCTTCCTCTGGAACTTGTCCTTTTTGGAAATTGGCTACACCTCCACCATCAGCCCAAAGATGCTAGTGGACATATTATCAGAAAATCGGACTATATCCTTTTGGGGCTGTGGCTGTCAAATGTGTTTTTTCATTCTCTTTGGTCTCAGTGAGTGTTGCCTTCTTTGTGTCATGTCGTATGACCGCTATGTTGCTATTTGCAAACCCTTGCAATACCCATATATTATGAAATACAGGAAATGTGCTAAGCTTGCTGCTGTGTCATGGGCTATTGGTATTTTTGTGAGTTTGGGACAATCTATTTCCATCTTCACCCTACCCTTCTGTGGATCAGATAGAATCAACCATTTCTTCTGTGATATTAAACATGTTCTGAGATTGTCTTCCACCAATACCTACAAAGATGAACTGGCCATTGCCATACTAGCTGCTCTAATTATCTTGACACCCCTTTTGCTCATCCTCTTTTCCTACATCCTCATCCTCTCCACTATTCTTAACATGCCCGGGGCCAAAAACAGGCACAAAGCATTTTCCACTTGTTCCTCGCATCTCACTGTGGTCTGCATTTTCTATGGAACTGGCATTTTTACCTACATTCATCCCCATTCAGAATATTCTATGGACAGTAACAGATTCCTTGCCCTGCTCTACACAGTGGTGACCCCAAGCCTGAATCCCATCATTTACAGCTTGAGGAATAAAGAGATAAAAGCTGCTTTCAAGAAATCTGTAGCAAGGAAACAGGTCTCCTTTATAGAATAATCCGAATATATCCCCAGAAATAATTTCTTCATTACAGTGTGGTTGTCATGCACATATGTATGAGATACATTGGATTCTATGGGATATTAGTAGCAGATTTCACCGTTTACAGCAAAATCACTTAGAGATTGATAATTTTTTTCAAAACAAGGGAGAACCCTGAAAAGTAACCTCAATTTATTATTGTGGTGGAGTTCAAATAAAAGGTTGATGGCTCATCTGCTCAGAAAATCTGCAAAAGGGGACTGCAAAAGGAAGGCCATAAAAAATGTTTCTAAGGAATCATTAGCAAGGAGATGGATCTTCTTTATCTAATAATCCAAGAATGTAGTTGTTTTCATCCCTTTATCAGATGGCGGTTCTCATGCACATATTAAGGGTAAAAATGAACTCCAGCAGGTACTCCTAGTAAATGTTTCTCTTCCCTTCTGTATGACCCAAAGTTGGTAATAATTTATTTCAAGAAGGTAAGAGCCCTGACAGGAAACCTAACTTTTTTTGTCTGGTAAAACAAGTAAATGATTGAAAAGCCATTTCCTTACAAGGAAGAAAACCAGACAGCTGAAGGAATGTGGGAAGAAAGAAGAAAGAGGCAATGTGTGGAGAAAGAAGGACCAGGTGAGAAGCAGGGTGGATGATACAGGTTAGGAGAAAAAAAGGCTAAGCTGGAAGGTGGGGTTAAATATGTAATCAGTTTAGAATCATTGTCACAAAAGACCTGACTCTAGCCCCCCATGAATTATGTTGACCTTTATCTAACACCAATTTAGCTTTGCCCATTAGTTTACTAGATTCTGGTATTAGATATAGATATAGATATATAGATATAGATATAAACTCTTCTATCCTTTGAGCTCAACAAATGTCCTGGTTATTTGCATCTGAAAACAGGTTCATTGAAAGAACAATGCATGGGTATCAACCACATCTGCTGTTGAGGAATAGAAGGGGTATGATTTCATTGAGTTATGTTTGAACCACAGGCCATGATACAAGTACATTGAAATATTGATTGATTTACTGACAGCTCTGGATTAAAAGATATGCATAAAGAGGAATGGGTTAAAGTCCCTCCTGATAGACTAACTCAGATTAGAATCAAAAGGTGATTGGCTATAGTTGGGGGTTTTGAAAAAGCAAGGAGGCAATATTCTATAAACACAATTTCTGGATAGGGAGAGGGAAAGATAGGGAGTTACTATTGTTTGCTTTCCCAGAACTCTGCTCACCTCATGGTATCTTCTCCAAGCATAGCATCATTGCTTGCCCTTTTCAAAGTTGTATGACTGAACTGATAGTTTTACTTACTCTTGAAAAATGTTTTTGCAGAAGGGATAATTGTCTAATATGAATTTACATTGCTGTGCCAGAGCTTTGTTTTTGCTGGGAAAGTAATATTTGGGTTAGGAGCTTCTAAACTGAACTTCAGAAATACTAGCATGTGTAACTTATTACTTTAATGCAAAAGGAAATAAAGAAGTATCAGGAAGTATAATTTATTCAAGTATGTATACAACTGAGCACTGAATTCAGAGATGGTACCACCTAAATTGTTGTTGTTGTTGTTAATTGCGAAGTCGTGTCTGACCCATCGCGACCTCATGGACAACGTTCCTCCAGGTCTTCCTGTCCTCTACCATCTTCTGGAGTCCATTTAAGTTCACGCCTACTGCTTCAGTGACTCCATCCAGCCACCTCATTCTCTGTTGTCCCATTCTTCTATTGCCCTCAATCTTTCCCAGCATTAGGCTCTTCTCCAGTGAGTCCTTCTTTCTCATTAGGTGGCCAAAGTATTTGAGTTTCAACTTCAGGATCTAGCCTTCTAAAGAGCAGTCGGGCTTGATCTCTTCTAGGAGTGACCTATTTGAATGCCTTGCAGTCCAAGGGACTCGCAGGAATCTTCTCCAGCACCATAGTTCAAAGGCCTCAATTCTTTGGCGCTCAACCTCTCTTATGGTCCAACTTTCACACCCATACATTGCAACTGGGAAACCCATGGCCTTGACTATACACACTTTTGTTGGCAGAGTGATGGCACCTAAATACTTTGAACTAATTTTGATTTAAAAATATATATATATTACCATAAATATCAGTTTTTAATAAAATTGCAATAATAAACTAATTATGTTTCTCTGGTCTTCCTTAATTAAAAAAACCCTCTGTTATCCATTTATATATTTATATGTTATTAGTGTGTTATTATCCTGTTTTGATGTGTTTCTCTCCACATTCTTCTCATTCTTCACTGACAAATCTATTGAAGTCCTGATTTAATATCTACAAATGTAGTAATTGCAACTCTGGTGACATAACCACCATTCTCAGCACATAAAAATCGATAACCATATCAACAGATCCTGAGAATAGTAGCAATGTGTAAGCAGGGCTCTTTTTTGTCATAGAACGCAGGGAATGGCATTCCAGCACCTTTTTTTGGCGGATTTTCAACTTCCACAGAAACAATAGTGAAGGTGGCTCTTCACTCAGCTCACGCTGCTTTGGGGGAAAAACCCCTGGCTTCTGCTGCCCCCAACAGGGGAATAGTGTGTGGTTAGTCCCGGGGTACAACTCAAGCACTTGTGCCCACCAGACTCAGCTGCTTTCTCCTGCATGGGCTGTGCTACTCCCTCTGTAATCTTTCCAGAGCCAGCAGGAATTGCCTGGACCTGGTCATTGACAGCTGTCTCTGCACCGCTGAATGCTCTGAGCAGAGGCGAGTTGGCAGGAACTTTGCACCCTTCCCTGTTGCCCAACCAGTCTTTTCAGATGATTCTTGTAGGACAATAGTCCCCAGCCTTTTGGGCACCAGGGACTGGTTCCGTGGAGAAAAGTTTTTCCTTGGACCAGAGGGTGCGTGGTTTTGTGTGCTGCCAGCATCCCATGGATGGGGCTTTGCTTGTTTGTGCAGACCAGTTGCTGACATGCTATGGCCCAATATCAGTCCACAGACCGAGGATTAAGGATTGTGTTCTAGGAAAGATAAATAAAAGGGAGACGGTATCCCTAAAGATTGTCTCATACAGGTAGTACTCAACTTATAACCACAACTGAGCCTAAATTTCTGTTACTGAGACATTTGTTAAGTGAATTTTGCCTCATTTTATAACCTTTTTGCCACAGTTGTTAAGTTGTTAAGTTAGTAGCACAGTTGTAAAGCGAATCTGGCTTCCCATTGATTTTGCTTGTCAGGTCATAATAGGTGATCACATGACCCCAAAACACTGTAACTATCCTGAATATGAGTCAATTGCCAAAAGTCTGAATTTTCATCATGTGACCACAGGTATGCTGCAGTGGTTGTAAGTCTGAAAAACATCCAGAAGTCACTTTTTTCAGTGCCTTTGTAACTTCAAACGGTCCCTAAATGAACTGTAGTAAATCAAGGACTACTTGTATTAAAAACTCCACATGGAAAAATTGTATTATCTCTGGACGAAGAGTTATAACTTAGCTTGCACTGTATGCACAAAATTCTGATGGATGCAGGTTTTAGATTTGAAATCTGCCTCAACTTATTCTGAAATACTTATAAACTTGGGAATGAGACAGCATTATCACTGGTTGTACTAAATCGTCAAAAAATGGGTCTTGAGTCAATGTGAGAGACAAGGGCGTGAATAGTCTTGAATATGGACTGGATTTATTGACTGCATTTCATCTTCAACTTCAGAGTCCAAATTTTCTATGAACTCAAGAAAATCTATCTAATAAGGAAATATGTAAGGACCTACTTCAGCTAAGCCACCCAAGAAAGCAGAATTCTTGAAACAAGCATTGTCTCAAAAGGAAACTTTTATTAGGGGCTAGTGACCGCAGGGAATCAAGGCAAGATCTGAGAGAAAAACCTGCAAAGTGATATATTATAAGTAGCATTCAATACTCCTCCCCCCCCCCCAGTGTCCCAGTGTTCATTTGAATACAAGCCAATCCACAGGTGGCATTGTGTTTTGGTAACCGGTCTTTTTGGCGGGCTCTTCAAAGTCTGTCTCACTTTTGATTTCTTTTGGCTCCAAGCACAAACCGTGTCTCAGATAAAGGTGAGACATTCCATCCCCCAGGCAACAAAGAAAGCTACAAAGCTGAAATAACTGAAGATACATTTCTTTGGGGCCTCACAGTGTGCCTTTAGTGTGCTTTTCACCATCTCCAGGCAAATGAAGATAAAGGACTATCAATCAATATTTTGTTTTCTTTTACAGTACATATAGAACTGAGCAATTAATTCAGTATGAATTTTCCTAATATATCAACATTATTAAAAGAACCAAGACTAAAGCAAATATATTTATATAATAAGTGATGTTTCGTTGTACAGAACTGAAATATTTCACCCCTTTCCTCTCTTGTTAGAGTCCAAAGCCAGACATTTATCTCATTTCTTCACTGAAAAAAACCATTAAATACACTGGAAAAATTGCAACTCTGGTGTCACAAATACAAGAATGTCACTATCTGCAGAATTTTGGATCTCCCCTCACAGGGATGTTCTGTCTCCACCATTAGGTACAGAAATCTGGATCATCCCCAAATTCCTGGTGATGGCAAGATAAGGGTTATGCATCCATCCTTGCCCAATTTGGCTTCTCAGAGGCTTTTGATACCATTAATCATGGTATCCCTCTAAGCAGCGTGATGGCCTAGAGTGGAGCTCTCGCCTCACAATCAGGAGGCTGTGAGTTCAATCTTTGGTAGCAGCAGATATTTCTCTTTTTGGGTACAAAGAGAAAATATCTGCTATTAGCTTCCTGTAGGTGTCAGGAAGGGCATCCCGCCAGTAAATTCTCAGCTCCATTCAGTCGTCCCAACTCCACCCCGATGCAAGGGAGTACAAAATATCTTTTCTAACAATCTCATTAAATTCTTCTGGTGTTAATGGAATTGACGAACTATTAGGCGCTCAAGGGCCTTTTTCACTTCTTTGTTTCTAAGGCTATAAATCAAGGGATTTAGCATGGGAGTAATCATCCCATAGAGCATGCTGACTAGCCTATCCTGGTCTGGATGGTAACTGGAGGAAGGTCTTATGTATGTGAATATGGTGGTTCCATAGAAAAGACAGACCACTATTAAGTGGGAGGCGCAGGTAGAAAAGGCCTTACGTTTTCCCTCGGCAGAACGGATCCTCAGAATGGTGGCAATGATGTGAGTGTAGGAAATCAAGGTGATTAGAAAAGCCCCCACACCAAATACGCCACCAACAATGAGGACAACCATCTCAGCCACATAGGTGGAAGCACAAGATATGGCCAAGACTGGTGGGATGTCACAATAGAATTGGTTAATTCTATTGGAGTTGCAGTAAGGTAGAATGAAAGTCAAAGTTGTGTGCAACAATGAATTGAGGAAGCCGGTGACCCATGTTCCAGCAGTCATCTGAAGGCAAAGCTTTTTGTTCATGATGACAGTGTATCGCAAAGGATTGCATATGGCCACATAGCGGTCATAGGCCATGACGGCCAAGAGGAAGACCTCCGTCCCTACCAGGGCCACTAAGAAGTAGAGTTGTAGCACACAGCCAGCAAAGGAGATGGAAGTGCATTCTGTCAAAAGGTTCTCCAGCATCTTGGGCACCGTAGCTGTGGGGCAGAAGATATCCAGCAAGGAAAGATTACTGAGAAAGAAATACATGGGGTTGTGCAACTGAGAATTAGCTCCTATGGCAAGGAGGATGGTGCCATTGCCCAATAGCGTGACTAAATAGATAAGCAAAATGATGACAAAGAGGGAGAAGCGGACGGCTGGGAGGTCCGAAAGTCCCATTAAAATAAATTCTGTCACTTGGGTCCTGTTCTCTGGTCCCTTGCTCAAAAGGTAGCATTCTCCCTGTAAGAGATTTAAAGGGAAAAACATGTAGAAAACATGTAGAAAAAGTAGGAGGCACAGACAATAGAAAGCCGTGCTGTATTTCTGTTCCAAGAATGGAATACTGCCAGATGTTGCCAGTATCTATAGTTGCCAATATTACATAGACATTAGAAAACAGAAAGTAGAATAAATGCAAAATGTAGTATTTTAAAACATTAAACTTTCTTTCTTGCAGGACAGAGTAATTAGCTCATATGAGTACAATAGTTCTTACTTGGGTCTACAATTCTTCTTCCAGGAACAAAATCTATCTTGACCTATAGGTTTCCATATCAATGGCTTTAAATTCTATTTGCAGTAAGAGATCAAAAACAAAAGAAATTACATTTTAAAGTTAAATTGGAAAGACTCCGCGGGTTTTCATGAGAAGTGGGCAGTGAACTCATTAATTCTTTCTGTGTCTTAGGAAAATAACAACCTTTCATTTTGGCATGTTTAATCTGATGGAAATAAGGGAAGTTTTTGTTAAATGTATAAAATCCTGTATTAAAACCATCAGATAGCCCTAGAGCGTTGCGCAATGTCATAATTCAGATGGCAACCATTGATTTCTCTACATCTTAGTCGGTTAAATCCTGTTCTGATAAGGGTTTTAGTTTGTTGTAAAATCATTCAAATTTTCATTTGGGAGCAGTACATCATTTAGTAAAAAAAGTTTATTTGCTTGCTTTATTTAAGATGGATCTTAATTTACACATTTAGCCTCAAGCTAGCTGTTTTGACTATATATTATTATATTCATCATCTGTTTGTTTGCAGATGTAACAACTAAATTAAAGTATTATCCATTTCTGTTAAATCCAATTATTTTTTTCCTTTCAAACATTGGAGGAACCTGTAACCTTCGATCCATTGTGAAATATTTATTTCAGTCTGAACAAGATGTTTTCATCTATACTGGCATCTTATTCCTGAACTCACCTGTTTGTGGGTTGGGGGAAGGTCGGGAAACATTCTTGAAGACAGTTTTGCAGAAGGATTGGGGTAGAGGTGGGGAACGTGAATGAATTTTCTAACAAGGCAGTATTAAAGCTTTGAAAAAAAAAAACCCTTTTCAAACAGCCTTTGGAACTGAATCAGAAAGGCCATATAAGGAAACGTATGGTATATACATATAAAATTACACATGGTATGTGGAAGGTGCAAAATATAATGAATAAGGATGAGTAATTCAGCTACATTTAAAAAAAGAATGTAGTATCTGGAAAGGTAGAAGGACTTTGGTACCATACGATAGCCATCAAGTTGGGGGACTCACAAAGAGTATTTAGCAAATACATTTTACATCACCATGGTGTAAAAAAGATGTCGAGACTCTAGAAAGACTGCAGAGAAGAGCAACGACAATGATTAGGGGACTGGAGGCTAAAACATATAAAGAACAGTTGCTGGAATTGGGTAAGTCTAATTTAATAAAAAGAAGGACTAAGGGTGACATGATAGCAATGTTCCAATATCTCAGGGCATATCACAAAGAAGCTATTCTCCAAAGAAACTGAGGGCAGGACAAGAAGCAATGGACAGAAACTAATCAAGGAGAGAAGCAACCTAGAATTAAGGAGAAATTTCCTGACAGAACAGTCAGGAAATTAACCATTGGAACAACTGGTCTCCAGAAATTGTGAATGCTCCAACACTAGAAGTTTTTAAGAAGAGATTGGACAACCATTTGTCTGAAATGGTGTAGGGTTTCCTGCCTGAGCAGGAGGTTGGACTAGAAGACCTCCAAGGTCCCTTCCAACTCTGTTATTCTATACTATTCTATTCTACATTGGAGGAGAAGGTTCTCACAGCTACTATAAACATGAGTGTTCTCTGTTACATTTTGCAGTTGTTGAGGGCAGATGAGAATAGAGCTATAATGCTCTTGTCATGCTTGAAGTGTTTCTCAAAGGTCTCCAGTTAATCATTGCAAAAACAAAAGTCTCTGCTATCTAGACATTGGTCAATTTCAGTGCTACTCTTCTTCTATTTTGGATTTTGACGGAGATGTCTGGCCTCCAAGCTTCTTTTTCAGATCCTTCCTTGAACGTCTTCTGTTCCAGGTATTCCTATTGTGTTTGGTTGGTCCTAGCTGGGCTAAATCCTAGTTGCTCCATTTCCTTTCTTCCTCCTTCTCCTTCAGACCTGGCCCTCACAGTACATAAAATTAGTATCTCTCAGTACTCACTGTCGACAGATGCTGTTTGTCCATCTTCTTAACCCCGAAAGCCGAGAGGGTTTTTTTTTTCCCCATGTGCTTTGAAAACACACAAGAAGGAGACTCATCTTTTTTATCACCAGCCCAATTTCCTCTGTGAAGCCGGCAATGCAGTGGGAATTACTGGGGGCTGGGGAATTGGAAGCTCTAAGGATTCCGCAACAATTTTGTCTTTTCTAGAACAAATATCAAACCAAAGAACAGAGCAGCAAGGTAAGGCCCCACGTTCAGGATGATATTCTCCATTCGTGCTGCTATTCCTCACAGGGCAGATGGCTGCAACATGGGAGAAAGCAAATGAAATCTTTAATGAGGCACAGTTGAAGGTACAATTAACTGGCTCTTACCATGAGCTAAACCAGGGCTTCCCAAATTTTATCCTTCATTGCCCAAAACCACTTATCAAAAAGTCTTATCGAACTCTTGAGGCCTGGCCGAAAGTTGCTTCCTTCAGCATCGCCGTATTTTTGAACAGTTGCTAAAAGAATGATTGTAATTTGAGGACTCCCTGTATTATTAAAAACAATATCACTAAATGGTTTTTACACCATCTCCACAAATTACAGTGGATAATTTCATCCATTTTTTATCTTAATGGGAATATTTTGGGAAATTTTTTTTGAATATATTTTAGCACAGATGGCAATTTAATTTGATTTTTTTAAATTTACATTTTAAATTGAAATTAAATTTGAATTTCCTTATTGTGATGGGTAATTGGTCCAGGTATCTTGACCCAAAAGAACCATATATTTATTCAATTTGGGTAATTCCCCTAGTTTTAAGAGGTACTGGGCTGGGTAAACTATGATTCCCAGTTTATAAACCAGGAGCTTTATAAGCCAAGGAGGGCCCAGGATCAAGATGAGGCCTTATTTTGGTTTCCAATGGCTGCATTTCTTTGCTACCGAAGACATTTCTCTCAGCCTGAGGAGAACAAGACAGTTCAGTGGTAAAAGTGCTGGACTAGAAATGAGGAGTTCCATGTTCTACTCCCCCCTCAACAATGGAAGCTTCCTCTGACTGGGGTAGTCAATTTCTATCAGACTCTCAGGGACAAGATGGTTCAGTGGTGAAGGTGTTAGACAACAAAAAAAATGGACAAATCCAAGTTCTAGTCCCCCTTCAACAATGGAAACTTCCTGTGATTGGACTGGTTCATTTTTCTCAGATCAAGAGGCATGACAGTTCAGTGGTGAAGGTGCTACCCTAGAGGTTCACAGATCCAAGTTCTAGTCCCACAACAACAATGGAAGCTTCCTGTGATTGGGCCAGTCCATTCCTCTCAATCCAAGGGACAAGATGGTTCATTGGTAAAGGTGCTGGACTAGAAGTAGGGAGATCCATGTCCTAATCCCCCCTCAACAATGAAAGCTTCCTGTGATTGGGCCAGTCCATTCCTATCAGACTAAGGGGCAAGATGGTTCATTGGTAAAGGTGCTGAACTACAAGTGGGGTCATCCATGTCCTAGTCCCCCCCCCCTCAACAATGAAAGCTTCCTGTGATTGGGCCAGTCCATTTCTATCAGGCCAAAGGACAAGATACTTCAGTGGTGAAGGTGCTGCCCTAGAAGTTGAGACATCCATGTTCTAGTCCCCCCTCAACAATGAAACTTCTTGGGTGTCTGGGTCAGTCCATTTCTCTCTGCCACCTGAGTGGGGGGAGGGAGGTGGTTCATTGGTCAAATTGTTGAACAGGGAGAGTCCATCTTCAACCGCAGAAGTTCTCTGAGGACTTTGGGCTAATCCTTTCTCTCAATTTTTTTCCCAGAGTTGCTGTTGTGGGAGAAGAATGAGAGTACTGCGTATCCCAACTTCAGCTACTTTATGTAGGCTGAACTATCATAGATCTAACCAGGGCTTTTTTTCTCATAGAAGCCCCAGAATGGAGCTCTGGCACCTTTTTTAGAGGGAACCTTGTAGGGTAGGCAAAGCAGGGTTGTATGATGTGTGTGAGTTCCGGCACCTTTTTTTTTTTTAGAAAAAAAAGCACTGGATCTAACATCTAAGGGATGTTTTGTTCATTCCAGTCCAGCTGTCAATAAACTCGGCTTATTTCTATGTTTGTTTGTTTTTAATTTTCACATTCAGCTCCTCGAGTCTTCATTTGTAACAGATGCCTTCGCATTACTTTGGAATCAATTCTGGATATAGGAACTGCTCTTGGTCAATTCTGGATCTAGCAACTGTTCCTAGGGAATTTTTCTTTTAATTTAGACTTTATTTTATTTTCGACCTTGAATTGCACAGCCTCAGACAAGCAAGAGATCTTCGAAGAATACATTGAGAAATGCTGCACTCAAATAAACGCCAAAGTACGTCTGCATCATTTTCAAAGTGTTCACAGACCTGATATTAAGCTATATTAACAGGAAAGCTTTAAAAAGAGAGAAATGTAGTAGTTCTCAACCATTTTGTTTAGTGACCCCCTATTGAAGTTGCAACACCACTGAAAAAAGTGACTTATGACCATGTTTCACACTTAAAACTGTTGCAGCAATTTTGGCCATGTGATCAAAATTCAGATGCTTGGCAACTGGCTCATAGTTATGATGGTTGCCGTATCTCAGGGTTGTGTGATCACCTTTTACGACCATCTGGCAAATAAAGTTAATGGGGAAGCCAGATTGACTTAACAACTGTGTTACTAACTTAACTACAGTGATTCACTTAATAATTGTAGCAAGAAAGGTCATAAAATGGGGCAAAACTCACTTAATGACCATCTTACTTAGCAATCAAAATGTTGGGCTCAGTTGTGGTCCTAAGTCAAGGAATAGCTGCATACAGTAAAAGAAACCGCAATGTTTTGGATTTTTCATGCATTCGCTTTTTTATTTTTATACATATACGTGTGTTTTATGGAGTCACATGCGCAAAAACAAAAACAGACCCTTTCCCAAATGTCTTGATAATATTAATTTTAATATATCTACAGAACAGAACGAATAAAGCTCATGTGGAAAATACAATGAGCAGAATCAAGGGATATTATCTTGGGTTAAGGACTGAAAACCAGGAGCACCTTTCCCAGTTAGCACATCTGATTAAAAAGCAGAGGGGTTGTTGTTTTTTGAACTGCAGCTGATGCATCGTGCCTTTTAATAACATTTTCTAATTTAAAAAAGCACCATCAGACTCCTGATGTTCTGCCACTTGGTCTGAGGATTAAAGAGTTCAACACAGAAAGAGATACTTCTAACTCTTCCAGCTATAGTATGTTTTATATAATTCTTGAAATGCCTTCCAGTAACAATGGTCTCCACTCCCACCTCCAAGCTCAGCTTCTGGTAACTACATGAACACATCCCTATCATTTTCTAGACAACATGTTTTTCACTTTCCCAGTCTAACTTATAGCCCAGTGATTATCTAGTGGTCTCCTGTCCGAGTACTAACCGCATCTGCCCTCAAAGATTTGCAAAACCAGATCCAGGTACCCAGATGTTGCCTCTTTCTGTGCCCAATCACTTTTAGCCAATAAGTAAGAACTCTACGCTCCTCAACCAAACATTCTCTCAATATTCACTGATTTTTAGGGAGATCCCTTATTTTATTGTAATTTCTTCATTTAGCTTTAAAATGTTTTTCATATTTATGGGAGGCTATTTTGAAGAAGGACAGAATAGCAAATATATTAATTAGATGATTCTTTTCCTTGAATCAGGATTAAGATTACATTGATGTGGGTGTAATAGTGATTCCACGGTTGACTAAGTTAAACATCACTGAACCTAAAACAAATTTTGCTGGACCCACCTTTCTACCACCTTGGCATCAGAACTATTTAGGATTTATCAGCCTTCTCAAAGTTCTTTTCACTTCCTTGTTTCTAAGGCTATAGATTAAGGGGTTCAGCATTGAGGTAATCACCCCATACAGCATGCTCACCAGCCTGTCCTGGTCTGGATGGTGGCTTGAGGAAGGCCTGGCATAAGTGAAGATCGTAGTCCCATAGAAAAGACAGACCACTATTAGATGAGAGGCACAAGTGGAGAACGCCTTGTGCTTCCCTTTCACAGAATGGATCCTCAGAATTGAGGAAATGATATGAACGTAAGAGATCAGCGTGACTAGAAATGCCCCCACCCCAAAAATTCCCCCAAAGATAAGGACAACCATCTCAGCCGCATAGGTGGAAGCACATGCTAAAGCTAACACGGGTGGGATGTCACAATAATATTGGTTGACTTTATTTGGTTGGCAGTAAGGAAGCGTGAAGGTCATTACAGTGTGCAACAGGGAGTTGAGGAAGCCGGTGACCCACGTGCCTGAAGCCATCTGAAGGCACAGCTTTTTGTTCATGATGACAGTGTATTGCAAAGGATTGCATATGGCCACATAGCGGTCATAGGCCATGACGGCCAAGAGGAAGACCTCCGTCCCTGCCAGGGCCACCAGGAAGTAGAGTTGTAGCACACAGCCAGTGAAGGAGATGGAACTGTTTTCTGTCAAAAGATTCTCCAGCATCTTGGGCACCGTAGCTGTGGGGCAGAAGATGTCCAGCAAGGAAAGATTACTGAGGAAGAAATACATGGGGTTGTGCAACTGAGAATTAGTTGCTATGGCAAGGAGGATGGCGCCATTGCCCAGTAGTGTGATTAGATAAATAAGCAGAAAGATCACAAACAAGGAGAAGCGGATGGCTGGGAGGTCTGAAAGTCCAATTAGGATGAATTCCGTCACTGCGGTGACATTCTCCATTTGCCTGCTCATCCTGAAAGAGATTGAAGATAGATAGATAGATAGATAGATAGATAGATAGATAGATAGATAGATAGATAGATAGATAGATAGATAGATAGATAGATCTGCCATCTTAAGGATAGAGAACACATAGAGAAATTTGCCATAATACTTATACGACACCACAGTTAAAAAAGAAACCAGGTTTTCCAGCAGCTCTTTAAAAAGTTATCTCCTTCCAATTGTCATCTACTGGGATCAAACAGTATCATACTGTAAACATGATATGCTACAATCTCATTATAGAGGTATACCTGTCCAACATTGGGATTGATAGCT